GATGCCTCCAGGAAGTTGGAAACTGTTGCTTCTTTTGTTGCTGGTCCGAGATCTTTAGCCTACAACACACGACTCCCAGAAATTCGGATATCCTGCTGGAGGCTTTTTCCTCTTTTGTTTCTGGATTTTGGGCCACGTCGGGGATACAGGGTGATTCAGTTTCTCGCCTCAGTTTCCTCCTTTCCTCTTTCTTCCATTCCGCCTTGCTTTCTAGAGAGGCCGTTGTTGAGAGCAGTCCGAGTAAGGGAGCAGTCCGGGTAAGGGCAGAAGGAAAAAAACAGAAGTGGTTAGATGGGCCGACAGATCACCAGTATAAGGTCGCGCATCTATATAAGCAGTGTAGCCCAGGGGAGAAGTCCTCCACAAGATCTCCGGTGTCCGCAGCTGCCCACAGCGAGATTTTTGTTTTCAATAACCATACATATTGACTGGTGGCTAGATGGAGGGTCATGAAATAAATTTAGCGACCACCGTATGACAGTTGACCACCATCCAGAATGCGCTCTATTGGTTAATGGAAGAGTTAATTTCGTATCAACCCAGATGTGAAAGGGTTCAGATTTTGTCATGACCGGAGCGCAATGGTTACCTTACTTTATTATCCACGTATGCGGGTATCCAATGCGCATTCACGCCTTAGTCGCAAGTAATACCATCGCCCCCTGGAACGGGGTGGAGAGAAACAATGATAGAGATCGAAGATCCAACTGAGATCCTGGATATTTCGCCAATGTAAGGCCGGCCGGCCGGCTTCTGTGCTATGGTAGTGAGCCCGGGCACAGGGACGGCGCATCAAAACCACAGAAAACCTTTTTCCCCCTTTCAAAACAAGCACCCTCAAAGCTTTTTCAATCTCCGTTCCCTAGTCCACCCCACCCATGCATGTGTTTTATCCTACCATGATATAAGCCAGGAGCGAAGAAAAGCATACGGTAGTACAACAGAGGTCGCCGGTCTGAACCCATCCCTGCTTCCCAGAATTTGCTTCCGATCTTCAAATCACTTTTTCCATTGTTCTAGCTTGTTTTTGGGATGCGCTGGATAGCGTAGGTGTGGTGTTGGAAATCGTGCAGTCATGAAAGATCACTCGGCCACTCAATGGGTGGGTGGAAGAAGAATGCCGGGATTTGGAACTGGTCACACCCTACGCCTGGTGGCATGTAGCAATGACACCTGTTCTCTGCAGAGCCCGGCACGCTGTGTGGGTTACGCGCTCGTGATTGTTGAGCGACTGTGCGTCGGAGAGCAGCGTGTTTCTGATGTGGATGAGTCGGGTGACCAACTTATGAAGCCAGAATCCTTGGAGTGGACAGGGGATTCCAAATCCCCCCCTGACAGTTTTTGGCGCCTTACATCATTCGAAGATAACCGACCCGGGGGGATCTCCCGATTTCCTCTTATCATGTTTCCCCCTGCTCGACTTCTGCTGGGGGGCAGGGAGTATTTGATTCCCTGAGTCCGTTGTTCATTGGCCACAATGACGAATTCATCCATGAGTCGGGGGGTGCAAAAAGCGCTTATACAAGGCGAAAGAAAAGAACGCTAATTCTAGTGGGCTCCTCCACCTTCTTATCTACACTAGTCTTGAAACCCCGGAATAAAAACCAATGTGGACGAAAGAAACACCCCGGAGGTAAGTAGAGGGCAACAAGGGCTTTGCTGATTGGAGTGGTGTCCCCGTGGGGCCTAAGGGATAAGGGAGGTATTCAAAACCCCGGATATTGGAATGTGCATGTTGAGCTAGGGTGGGTAGGTACATCAGCAAATGAAGAGGGCTGAAAAGCGCGAGAAGGATAATCAGTGGCTTGGATTAGGGTGGATAGCTGCCGTGATCTCACATAGGCTCTGGGTTTGTGTCTCACTTTCCCCGGTCCGGAAGGGAGTTCGGAGCATCGTGAAGGGTGGGGTCACCCCATCCACTCGGTCTCGCTGAGTATTCCCAGATTATATCATACCTCGGCTGCTGGGGCATGCTAACGGTCAACGAGTTGCAATAGCCACCCCGCATGCGGTATCAACACTGAGAATACCACTTCCACTCTTATTACCTCCCCACCCTGATCCCTTACCCGCTCTAAAGTCACAACGTGAGCATCTTCCAAACAGATCGCCCCTGTAGGGTTAGGGTTATGGACTCATACTATCATAGCGGACAATACTGATCTCTATCAGGTCGGATACGTTCATAACTGTTTTTGGTAACTATTCTGAGTCAGGCAGTGAGTGGGGGTATATTTGGTTCTGGAAGCCTATTTCTAGGCGGATTTGATGGTGAACTGGCGGATAAACTGGATATTGGTGTTAATTTTTGGATCCGGACATAGGGATGGATGTAGAGGGTTGAGGGTCATAGGGGGGGTAGCGAAGAACCTAAATTACAGCAAATAATTACTACAATCTCATACATAAGCTCGCTCCTCAAGCCAGGCCGACCCCAGCCCGGAGTTCACCTACCATGGCACATCGCGATACCTTCAGCCATGGCACCTTGAACTCTGGCCACCATTCCCGTGGAAGCCCCGCAAGGCCTTTGCTGAACCACCAATCTTCCAGCAATCACGGGCAGAATCTGGAAGAACACTCAAGTCGAGCAGTCGCCACATCACACTTACTGCAGACAGGGCAGGTAAAGGGAAAGGAGCACCGGAGAACAGACAGGATTCCGGGTCTACGAGGTTAGAAGAAGATAAACCTCGACGAGTAGGGGCATTGTTGTGTCGACGGAATGGAAAAAAACTGAAACATGGACTTAACATTCAGATTAATGCCGGGTTTGGAAAAACCCGTACCAATTGGGCAAAGTCACTGGAAGATGCCGCTCGGAAATGTAGGGGTCTCGGAGCATCGTCGGGAAAAGGTATAGCCGGATATCGGCTTAGCGCGGGGTCATAGCTCCACCACAATGGGCCCGTGGAACTCCCGCAGCATATAAACCCCCTGAATCCTCTGAACACGAGATCCTTATACTCGCTACCGCTCCCCAGATCTCGCGTTTTTTGCTGCCCGCCCCCCGCCCCTTGACTCACGGCCAGCGCCCCCATTGTCAGCATGGGATGGACGAGTGCCAACACTCCCCAGCGACAAGGGCAGCAGGATCTCCCCAACGCCTCCCACAGTGGAACGACACCGCCGACAGCAAAGAGGGAAGGATGGACCGCAGGATATTTGTTCATAGGTTTCTTTTTTCTTCTCAGTTTTCCTCTTTGTTTCCTTTCTTTCTGTCCTTTGTCACAGTTTTCAGCCAGTGTATATTTGTCCCTAGCTTTGAAAAATTGGTCGTTATTAGAGTTAGAGCAGTGCTCGGGGGTACACAAAAGTCATTGATGTCTTGTGGCACGTGTGGTAACAGATTGAGGTGCAGCCTAAAGCGCTGGTAGAGTGCTTGAATTGTATGGGTCCGGGATATCATACTACCCTAGTATGCCCCACGACATGGTAATCACTCCCGGTCCCCGCGGAGTATAGCTGAGGATAACGTAGGGAAGGCACAACCATCAATGCACAAAAATAGAATAAAAACATCCGGTGACAGACGCCAAATTTGGTCGGTTGCTGTCTCCCGTGCTAGGCAGTGTGTTCTTTCCACGGTGGATGATTCATTTTTTTCTCGCCACACCCCCCCGCCAACTAATTTGTTTCTCGCACTATACCTACTGTGTTTCCCGGGAAAGTGATGGTTTAAAACATTGTGGGATTAATTCTGGTAGAAAAATGATGTTTTCTGTGGCGTGCCAAACACACCCCTCGGACGCCTCCAGATCTTGAAAACAGAGCTGAATCTGTTTCCGTGATGGAGTAGGATATTAGCTTCGAACTAATAGAGAAAAAGTATAAACTTTTATTGTTTTCGTAGGGCCACCAGAGCACTAGAGTGACCATTTTAGGCACGGGGCTGAAGCGCAAGGGCTTGTTAATGAAAACCAGAATGTGAACCCTTATATCGACTCAATTCGCTACAGCCTAGAGCGACAGCCATAACAGACAATAAATACAAATTTCCTAGTCCAGCACAGCCTTCCGGATTGCAAGAATCCAACCTCCCATTCCCATTCCTGTTTTCCCAATTCCTGCCTTGAATGCCGATTAACATTCTTCAAATCCCACCTTCCACACCAACAACATTCCTATACCAATTCCAACCATCACATATACAATAATGATACCAACAAGCTCGTTCCATATAACAGTTAAGATAAAAGGGTCAACGAGTGATATACTATGGCTACGACACTGTGTTGATGAGATTTATATAGAAATCGAAAACCGATGCGGGGGGCGAGCACAGCTCTTCCGGGGTACAAGAAACTCTGCCGGGTGTTATGCTCGAGAGAGTCGTCAATGCTCCTGGCGGGCCTCCGGGATGTAATCCCCCTTGCCCTTGACCCAGTTTTTGGGGCAACAATTCATTGGAATTGTCTTGCCTGTATCATTTGCGGATCCTCAACGGATGTAGCCCTGCGTTTCATCTCGGCACTGCAAAGTTTGCGGATGAGTTTGCGAAGGTCGCCGCAGGGCCAGGGATGACGCAAAGTGGGGGTGCGGAGCCAACAAGTTTAAGGAGCCCAATTACCTTGGTCCGAATTTTCCTCAAAGCATGCCTACTTTAGTTAATAATGCCCCTCGCAGTAAAAATGAAATAACAGCGGTCTCCGTAGCCCTCAGAGCATGACCCAATGCATTCTCAGGGGGAAAATTGACTTTTTTATTTGGTGACGCTCTAAAGGGACTCTTGATACGATGGCCGGAATTCACAAACACCAATGCATCGTGCGATCCTCCACAACCCGCGCCCTCCCTAAACTAGAAAGAAGCCATTGCTCAGCTTTCACCATCTGCCTAACCGCCCAGATGCCCACCCGCCTAGCCATGGCAGTGGCGTGCTTCCACTTCCTGACTCTCTGGAGTCCATTCATGGCCGAGTCCCAGTCTTGCGTCCATAGGAAACTTTGTGTACACCACTGCTCAACAACGTACAGAAGGCCAATGACCGATACCACACATGTGATGACTGTGCCAAGCAACCAGCTGATCTCAACGTTGAAGGACTTGTAGTATTGCACACTCTCAAAGTCCATGTACCCACCGGCACCACCCCATAGGCTGGACTTGCAATGGCAGTTGTTGTAGATCCCAAAAGTCTGTGCAATGATGATGCATACGAGCAAGCAGAAGTTTATGAATTCCCACAAGCGTAGGAACCACTGCGCTACCCTCCGTTTCGTGGCCGAGTGTAAGAATACCCATGCGGCCATTTCCATGAGCAGGCAGCCCAATGCGTTGAGACCAAAGATCATATACCCCCCGGAGCGGCAGCCCATGCCAACGGTGGGTGTGAAGTAGCTAACAATGAAGGCACCAATGCTGCAGGCAAATACCATCATGAAGGCAGCTGCCATCTGCCATCCTTGGCTGCGGTCGAATCTTAAGAGGCCAGAAGTGGTACTTGTGGTGGATAGTTCATCAGTGTTCGTGTATCTCTCTAACCAACCGCGCGCCATGCCGGGTGTAGCCTCTAGTGTCCGGATGATCGAGTGAGCAGCACCGGAATGCCACCGGACTCGTGCTTGGCCGGCAAACTCTCCGAAGAATTTTGGCTCACTCACTCCGGGAAATACGTTAGGGATGACCGCTATCACCACGGTTTCCCGCAAGAAGGTGTTTAGCTTAGTGCGGACGTAGTGGGAGTCCATTGGATTTCTGTCAACGATTGTCGCGGCGACGAGAACTGGGAGCCAGCACACTAGCAGGCCCAGCGCGAGGTTGTGAGCAGTTGAGTTCTCCCCGAGGTCCCCGAAGGCTTTGTGTATTGAGATGATCATTGCCACCAGAAACCAGGCAAGCGATACTAGGACTTGGACAGCTCCCCGGCGGCGTTCCCGGCGGATACTTGCAGCGGCTCTACCCCTCGCCTGTTGAATTCCTAACCTCCTATCGAAAAGGGCTTTGCGGAGGATCTCCTCCATGTGGTGTTCTTCTAGCTCTTCGCAGATATTGAGCTCGTATTGATTAATTACGCTGAGAAGGTATAAAGAGTCTCTCAATCCGGCAAAACTGCTGGTTGGCAGTGGGTACTCGTCTCTCTCGATGCTCATGTCAACCATTAGAGCGCACTTTCTAGTAACCTTCATGTTCCAGAAAATGCACATCATGGAAACGATGGGAGAGCCCACCCACCGGAACACCAGTAATGTGGTTTGTTTGATGTTATTGCTCTCGAAGGGGGCCTGGAGAATTAGACTGACTAGAGGGAGCACCCAGGTCGTTATTGTATCGGAGGATTTTTCCCAGCTATAAAATGCCGGTGTGCTACCGCAGTGCTTCTCACAAGCAGCAAAGGTTAAGTGGAGTACCGGGTTTTCGGCGTTCGGTGCCCGGCCTAAGGGACGTTTCACAGGACCTGTGTAGATATCTTCAAGTGGAAGGGAATTGTTTTCTAATAATCCCTTGACGTGCGCACCGCATTGTGTGAGGTTCGTTTTCGCAGTTACAGGAGCCAGGGTTGAAATTATAAGGAGGAAAAACATGAGTAGCCGAGGTTTTCCCGAAGAAACAAGTATCGAAAATTGACGAGGGGTGCCTGTACTCGGGTATTCAGGTCCTTGACGTGCCTTTCCCTACGTAGGTATTAGATTTGATTTGGGCTTGCGGGAGAGGTCTACTAAGCCTGACTGGGAATTGGAGATACCGATACTCACCCTTGAACGCCCACACTGAGAGAGTCCCAGAGATTCCATCTTCTAGAGCCGAACTCTTCTAGAAGGCTTGAGCCGTACGCACTCTTTACCCAGACTTCAGGTGGAAATACTACTCCCGATCGCCTTTGGCTAGGCTCTGATTGTTGAGAGAAATGCGAATGTACCGGCGTCTGTTGAACTTTGTTCAAGTGGCGGTGAATGTTTGGTTCACGCTATATAGAAAACGTTGCACTAGATATGGTAAGAAAGATCCCGCAGAACTTCTATAGGGAGAGAGAATTTGTTGACTTATAAGCATCCAGTGTGTGGTACCCCCGTGCGCGATGTTGGGCCTGAGGTGTCCTATTCCGCTAGCCTAAGTCCATGGCGCAGCAAATGCCTGATGAGGCCAGCCAAAGACCCAACCCCCTCCTCTCCCTCTGATAACAAAGGCCAAAAGCATTGATCAACCATCATGGGCACTCCCAATGTGGCAATGCCTCGATATCTCCTCCATCCCCAAACTCCCAGTGCCTAGAAAAGCTCTTGTCAGCTGAGTTCAACCTGGGCTGTGCCCGGTGCCAGGAAGCCCGTCTGTATTAACGGTAGGGCACTGGCGGACGATGAACCATAGAGTGGCAGCCCTAGGAGGAATTCTGCCTGGGGCTTGTTTTACGACATGTAAGATGTGAAAATATCTGCGTTCTATCGCTTGCTCTTGTGATAAAGTTGGCAGTTACGAATCCAAGAGGTATAGTAGAGACTCGGGGTTTATTTCCCGAGCCTGCGCCACCTCTTCCGGGGCGGGGGAAAATCCTTCCCTTCCATGTACCCTCCCGACGTGACACAAGAGATATGCTCGATACTAAGGGAATAACTATGGGCCACACAACCGACATATATCCATGATATGATGCATAAGTCACCGCGCACATAAGTCATAAGAAAGGAAGCCGTACGTTTTAATAAGACGACTGGACTCACCATAGGACGATAAGATGTCTTAGAATGCGTTGCCAAATAGAGCCGCCAGAGACTCACGTCCGGGAAACCCACAAGAAAAGCCTGTCTGGGGGGTTCTGTTGGGTTTGTAGCAACTTGACAGGGCTAGTAAGTGTTGTTCACTATCATCGGTAGGTATAATAGTTCGCTAGTAGTGGCTCACGAGGCCTATGCGATTGTACAAATTTCTAATTACTGTAACATGATTGACGTCAAAAATGTTGGCACACCACTTTACTCTTACTTTACGTCAACAAACGCATACCGGTAGGCATTCTTTATAAATTCGTAACGGTGGGGAGGTACGAAAGAAAACCTTCGAAACTCCAAGGGCTAGACCGTATGTATATCACGATCCACATAGCTCGTTCGATGGTCCCCCACACCCCCCTCTCATCATAGTTTGTGATTCCTCCATCTTTGTTGGCCCACAATAGGCCACCAGAATCCCCCGCAAACCCCCGTATCCCACTTCAGATCCCCACGGATTCCCACCGACCCTGACCGACCCCTGCAGCGTTTAGTGCAAAATCTAGAGTCCACGATTGTCACCATTTCCCCTGTACTAGGGCACTAGGGGTACAAATAATATCACATTGCCGGGCCCATGATACTTGCCGAACCCTACGGTCCTCAAATATGCAGAGCAAAACGGAACACGAATACTGGCCCCGTCAGCCCGAGACTCCTTGGAAGTCTCCCTGTGGGGGGACAAGGGCCAGAAGTGCCCATGGACGGCTGAGGGCCTTGGAAGTCTCCCTGTGGGGGGACAAGGGCCAGAAGTGCCCATGGACGGCTGAGGGCCTTGGTTAAGGCAAAGCGGGAGGGGTAGACCCGAGTGGGGAACCCTTCGGGTTCTTGGGTTTCACAACCATCCCCCCCTGCTATTTAAAGCCCTAATGACATCAAATTGGCTCTTCTCGGTATGGCAAGTGGCTTGAACTCACCCTCGCTCTCCCTGCTCCTGCCCACTATGATCTGGATTTGATCTTGTCTTACACCAATTTTTCTCGTCAAAACATGGAACCACCTATCCTAGTTTCTCCTGGGGGTTTAGCTCGGCCTAACGCTCGGGCGTGCTGTCTCACTTCTTTGCTGCTGGATCCGACGTGGGATGGCTTTCACATTTGACAACCAAGCGTACGTAAAAGGCTCAGTAGGGCACTCTGTACCACTTTCTACTGGAAGCAGCTCTTGGCCGTCCTATTTGTCCCTCATTCTGTTTGGCTCCACCAACTCCGGCTCCCCTTCATCAAACACTTGGGGCTAGGGTACCTATTGCCAAATTCCTGGGGAATGTGAATAAATACACCTCGCCACCGACTGTGTTTATGTTCGCTTTTGGGGGACCTGTATTGGGTTGGGGCAACGCATGAGTTGTGGGGGGCTTAGGGGATCGACCGGGAGTGACAATTGAGAGCTAAGCTTTTTCGGTACCACCACTGGGTAATCCAGAATGTTCCTTTGTTGCAAGGATGAATTTTTGTTTGCGGCTGTAGAAATGTCTCGGTTAACTTAGCTTCCGAGGATTCGATGGTAGTTTCCACCCAGCTGACACCTGCGCAAAAATATTGGCTATGAGCTCGCGACATGCCCGAGGATAAGCTACAGGAATGAATGAAGAGAATAGATACCATGTAACATCAGTGAGCGCAGAAGAAAGGGGCAGAAGGAGGCGTTGTTTGGTTGCTTGTCGGTGGGGTGCGGTCGCGCCTTGCTTCCATACTGTAGCCTATACGGTGGGAAGCTTGAATTGCTTGGGATCCCCTTTCCGGATTATGCGGAGGGGCACCCTCCCGATATCCACCCTCGGTGAGACCAATAAAAAGGAATATCACGGCCCTAACTAGGAGAGGCCACTCCAGAGCCCCAGCACACCTTTCTTCTATCCAGGCAGCCACCGCCCTAGTACAAGCACCGGTTGACCGCGAATTCATGCCCACAAATTTCTACTCGTAGCGGAGCTTGCTAAATTACATACTAGAGATCAAAGCCCCTCATACAAGAGGCTTCAAAATAGAATCGAGCCAGACCAGAATTCTTTTTGAAGAAAGTCAAGTATTTGCTTCTCCGATTTAGTCCATCGAGCCCCGGTGCCACACCATGCCACCGAACCCACAAAATCCCATCAGTGTGAGTTCTCGTACTGTACCACATGACACGGGACACGCCATGAGTTTTCAACCGAGCACAAGTAGGGCCCTGGCATCAAAAGCCATGAGTAGGATGGCGGTATCAACCGCGAAGAATTCGTACTTGTACCCTCAGCGATTATAGCGAAAGGAACCTTCTTGGGTATATACGAGAAAGAGGGGAGGCGGTATTGTAATTAATACCGGGCCTAAAAGACTCTTCCATTCCCGCTCTCCCAAGGTATATCCAAAATACAACCATTTGGCCCCGTCCTACCAGCAGGTTCTAGCCAATCAGATTATTCCTTCACAGCCTAACCCACTCGTTGCGGAGTTCTGGGGAAGTGATATCTTGCTCAGTGTGTTATGTGCAACACATATTCTCTCTAGCGCTCGAGTCTGGTGACGAGGCGGATCTCAGGTAGCACAATACCCAGCCTTTTCTTTGGCTTCACTCAGCGGGGTATCGCATTCTAGGACATTCAGCATCCTAATCCTTGCTTGCGTTCTAGATTCGTGGTGAATGGCGACGGTGGTTAAACTTGTGCTACTCATGGCTTTCTGCGCCAAGATGACACAGGCTTCCTAAACCCCTGTGGGATCCTTAGATACACGTGTACAACGGTAAATCATAAATTCCTACAAAACAGCGCAACCTCCCGCAAAGCAAAAATTAAGGATTCAAGCATATCACGATCATAGTTGGCTGTTACCGGGTATCAAAATTTCCCTTCCACTTCCCCCGCCACTCATCCCAAAGCCACTAGTGCCGCGGTGAGAACAAGGTGTTGGGTGGGCACATATACCTTTTCCCGATTCCAAGATTGCCTTCACAAAGGAGGATGTCTACCCCTTTTCTGTACCATGAATTCATGATCTACCCTCGTACCCCAACCTGTCACCAAGCCGAGTTTAGCCCTACCAGTACGAAAGCAAGTATAGTGGGGAACTTTCGTAGCCGGAGTATCTTACTTTTCCACGAAAGTACTGCTCAACTTCAAGCCCCAAAGACCTTTCGACAATGACTCCGGTGGGAATTATGACTTTATTGGATGATATAGTGGGTGATCCTCTACACATTAAAGGGGAGAAATAAAAATATCTCAAGTTTTGCTCGAGTTATCAGGCCCGGATTCCGACGGCTCGGATACTGTGCCTGGTTAGCGATGCACAACACCGCACCCAGTCAATGGCTTGGGTTCAGGGTGGGAAATACTCGTATGCAACGCACATTGTCTGCTTCTGAGCACCTGCTCCACAAAGTACTCGAGTACCTTAAGTACTCAAATATCGGTACTGGACAAATGTGCTGGGTATTGCACCGGTAATTGCCTCTCCCGGTAAAGCGGTACGCGGATTCCTTTCTAGTGTCGTCTTGACAACTCGGGTAAAGGCTGAATTTATGGCTTTTGCTCTCGCGTAGCTGAGAACTTCCGGACGGCACAGCTCTCTCCCATTCGTCTACTTACGGTATACCGTGATGGAAGCCTCCGATCCAGTCGCGTACTGTACTTACCTCCAGCAGTACCGTAAAAGCTCGCGAAATCCACCGTCTCCGTCAGCCCCCTGAGAATGGCTAGCTCTTTCCTGATATAATAAAAGGTCGGCCGGCTAGGTGCGTCGGATCTCGCTAACAGTTATTCGCAATTTTGTTAACCTGCCAAATTAAACCTGTAGTGGGATGACGGCCGGCCGGAGACGATGGATTTCACGAGATTGTACAGTATACTGGTACTTGGGTGCCGGAGGAGAATGTTGACTTGTCTGTAGTGAAGGCGGTGCACCACGCACTTTCCAGGCAGAATC